AAGGAGGGGTGACATAAGGTCTTACATTCTTAGTCGAAATATCGCAAAAAATTTCGGAAGACGTGCCAGGCAACGAGACTTTGCGTAATCGCAGGCTAGATTCGCTATTCAACAACCGCTGCAACTCCTCATCCTGGGCTTGCGATTTTGCCAATTCTTCGAAATTAATCGAGTGGTTAACCGTTTCCACTCTGGACAGTGCATCGGCAACGACGTTGTCTTTACCGGAAATATGTTGAATATCTGTAGAGAATTGCGCAATGTAATCTAGGTATCGGAATTGTCGAGGAGAGCATTTATCTAATTTCTGTTTGAAAGCGAAAGTTATGGGTTTATGGTCTGTAAAAATCGTGAAATGTCTGCCTTCGAGCATATGTTTGAAATGTTTTATTGCTAAATAGATAGAAAGTAGTTCCCGGTCGTAAGCTGAATACTTCTTTTCGGCAGATCCTAATTTCTTAGAAAAGAATGCTAATGGTTGTCGTTCGTTGCCGACGCACTGATGTAAAACAGCTCCTACGGTGTAATCAGAAGCATCGCAGGTAACCGACAATGGAGCGTTGACCGCAGGATGAGAAAGCAGGGTTGCGTTTGCTAAACTATTTTTGGTATTTTCGAAAGCCTGACGCGCTTCCGAAGTCCAGGCTATCGGGGTCTTGCCCTTTAAATTGCCGGCTAGAAGGTCGTTCAAGGGTGCTTGAAAGCGAGCGGCATCTGGGATAAAACGGCGGTAAAAATTAAGCATTCCCAAGTACTGCCTCAAATCCTTCGCGTTTTTCGGAAGGGGAAATGACTTTATGGCTTGTACCTTGCCGGGCAAAGGTTGAGTGCCGCTTTCATTTACCCGATAGCCTAGAAATTTAACTTCTTCCTGTCCGAACGTGCATTTATTCGGATTAACAACAATGCCATAATCTTTTAATCGTTTAAATAATAATTCTAAATGGCGCAGGTGATCGGCTTGGGATTCTGAGGCGACCAAAATGTCGTCTATATACGCGTAACAAAAATCGAAACCGCGTAAAATTTCGTCGATAAAGCGCTGAAATGTTTGCGCGGCATTTCGTAACCCGAACGACATGTACGGGAATTCAAAAAGCCCGAACGGCGTTGTAATGGCCGTTTTTCCGACGTCTTCCGACGCAACCGGAATCTGATTATAAGCTCGGACGAGATCTATTGTGGAAAATACCTTTTTGCCACTCAGTTGTTGCGCAAAATCCTCAATGTGACGCACGGGGTATCGGTCGGGAATTGTCCGTGCGTTTAACGCTCTATAGTCACCGCAAGGCCTCCAAGCTTCTTCGCCCTTCTTCGGAACCATATGAAGGGGTGCTGACCACGCGCTCTTCGAAGGACAAGCGATGCCCATCTTCACCATCGCGTCGAACTCCTTCTGGGCAGCCCTGAGCCGGTCCGGTGCAAGCCGCCGCGGCTTGCTGGAAACGGGTGGTCCAGGGGTTGTCTCGATGTAATGCACCGTTTGGTGCGTAGTCCTCATCGGGGTGCCGCTAGGCCGTGTAAGTTCCGGCATCTGCATCAGGAGCTGGTGGTAAACGGTAGTCCCTGCTACTGTCTTCACCGACGGCGTTTCATCCTCGGCTCGTGTTCCGCGGACCGTTAACGACGTGGTCCGATCGACGAGGCGACGATTGCGGATGTCCACCATAAGATCGAAGTGATCGAGAAAGTCTACCCCGATTATGGGTTTTGTAACATCCGCAACCACGAATCGCCACACGAAATCCCGTCGTAGGCCGAGGTGCAGGTTTAACGACACTGTCCCGTAGGTGTTAATTACACTCCCATTCGCCGCCGCCAGCTGGTACTCCGATCTTTCTCGCAATCCGCCTAGCAGGCGGCGCGGAAAAACGCACAAATCGGCCCCGGTATCCACTAAAAATTCCGTCTTCGAGCTGTTGTCTAAGATGAAGAGGCGGCGTGATGCTGGATTTGTGTCGCTGGCCGCCATCAACGACTCCCCAGGTCGTTTCCCTGATCCGTGGCGTTCCAATTGCACGGTGCAACGCACCTCTGCGCGGCCGGACCGAACCGCCAATGGTACCAGCATTTCCCTTGATGGTCCATTTGTCCTCCCGCGGGCCGCTCTCGCGATCGCGATAGAGATCGTCTGCGGTAGCGCGAGTTTGGATGATTTCGGTGGGTCCACCTGCGACGGGAAGATTGCCCCTGGTCCACCAAGGATTCACGGATGGCAGAAATTTCCTGCCTCAAGGAAAGAGCCAATTGTGACATCTTAATGTTTAACATGGCCTCGATGCTCGGGCCCGGCGGGGGTATTTGGCAGGATGCAGATACGCCCGTAATCGCGGCCTCCGTGACGTGTACCCGCGGTGTCATCGTATCCGCAACAGCGTCTGCCAACTCTGCCACCTTATCCAGCGGGGTGTCCCGCTGCGTGGCTAAAATCACCTGCATATTAGCAGGTAGTCGGCCCATCCAAAGCGTCCGCAATACACCGTCCGAAAAAGCCGTACCGGCCAATCCGCGCAGGTGACGAAGAAATTGGGACGGTTTTCTGTCCCCGATTTCCTCGTGTTCCAATAACCGCCGCGTTTTCTGTTCCTGCGACGCACTAAGCCGGCGAATGAACTCATTTTTTAGCGTCGTGTACGGATCCGCGGCCGGGGGATTCATGATAATGTCTCTTACTTCCGCGGCGTGTCGCGCACTTAACGCGCCGAGAATGTACCCGAATTTCGTGGTCTCCGACGTTACATTGGATACCTCAAAACTTCTCTCTACCATTGAAAACCACATCTCCGGGTCTCCCGGACAAAACTCGGGTATCCGTACAGCGACGCGATCAACTGCCAACGGCACACCCGCGGATGTCCCTGCGTTAACGTTAGGGTCAGTCATTTTACCAGTCTTGGTCACAAAAAAAAATAGTTTCACCGCACACACACACCGCGCTTACTATTTGTCAGACCGTGTCCTTTTCTTATGTCCTTAACACTATACACTTATTTCTCTACCCTAACTAATATTGTCCGTATACGAAAAATGTCCAAATTTTCTTAAAAAAACTTTACTTGCGCGGCGAGATCACGTCGGGGTCACCAATGTGGGATCGGGAAGATAATGACTCCGCTCTGTTCCGTTCCGCACAATTTTATTGTTGCTGTCGTACAACGACGTGACTCGTGGTGCGGGTTACGCTCGACTCTCTGGTACGATCATCGCCACCGTACCAAGAGGCCTTCAAAAACAAAAGACGGTCAGAGACGACGACAACGGCTTTTCGGCTCACGCGGCTCTGGTCGTCTCGTGTGCAACCATCGTCTCGTGTGCAACCATACATTGTAGCGGCTTCGAACGGCTAAGGCGTATGTGGTGCCTTGGCCGCCACAGTAAAATAGTAAAATAGTCAAATAGTCAAATAGTCAAATAGTAAAATAGCAAAATAGCAAAATAGCAAAATAGCAAAATAGTCAAATAGTCAAATAGTCGAATAGTCAAATAATCAAATAATCAAATAGTCAAATAGTAAACTAGTAAAATAGTCAAATATTCAAATAGTCAAATAGTAAAATAATCAAATAATCAAATAATGAAATAATAAAATAATCAAATAATCAAATAATAAAATAATTATACACGTGTTACATAAGGTACATCCAGAGGAAGTAATTACATTTTGACAGATGTATACAGGGTGTTCGGCCACCTCTTGCAAAAATTTTAATGAGCGATAGTAGAGGCCAAAATAAGACGAAAATCAAGTATACTAATTAGTTGATGGAGGCTTCGTTGCAAAGTTATTAACATTTAAAGTTCCGCCTGTAGAATGACAATCCGCTGAACAGCTGGTTCGCGCGGACGGTTGCGGCAGGCGAGTGCTAGTGGTTCTCACGCAGCATGAAAAATTCTGATTACCGACATTATCGACAGCCTTAGATTTTTGTCCACTTATGGGAATGCGAACACCTTACGTTGAATAAGATTCAACCTGTCTTATGAAAATCCAGAAGGGCATATCAAAACTCGTCCGACGAGATTTTCACAGAGAAAGGGTGAATGCCAGTTCCAATACACAATGTTGTGAACAAAAATCACCCACATGCGATTATACACGCCCCACGATTGTCCACAGTGTCCACAAGTATCCACAAATAATCCTTTCAGGCACTAACCACTATGCAATTAAATAAACACGTACCGCGATTATGTTATTCGTGAATGTCTACGTGTACGTGTATCACGATTCTTCCGAGTTACTTACGAATAAAACGGTTATTAATTTTTCAAATACACTTCAATTTAAAAATGTAAACAGGAATTTAATAAGTATTCGCTGATTGTTTATATCACTGTATTTCTTACATGCTACTTAATACATAACTGAAATGTGTCGCGTGAACTAGCTTGACTGATACTGTTTTCCGACTGACTAGCTGGCCGAACACGTGCCGATGCTGCCCTTTGTCTCCGCTGTGTGTGAGAGAGATAAGCGAGGCGAGTGACGTAGAATTGGGGCCTGTTCGGCATATGTTTCTCTGAACCTCGTCGGTCGATGGCACAGTCAGCTGCTAGTATTGTTACATTCTTCGCCGTGAACGTAAATCGATGCGAAAATTTCATTTATCCTGCGATTCCTTTTTACATTTTTAAATTGAAGTGTATTTGAAAAATTAATAACAGTTTTATTCGTAAGTAACTCGGAAGAATCGTGATACACGTACACGTACTGTCCGCCGAAGATATGATGGCTAGGCACGCCGGTTGGCCGTAGCGTCGTAGCGACGCCCGTCCTCACACGTATTATCGCTATTGGCTGGAGCGCTCACTACTACAATTCCATCACGCGACGAAGGACGCGAACGAAACGTACCGAGATAGAGTAGGATAGAACAAGAGTTAGTGACATTGGCGTAACCGCGCGCTCAGAATACTAACCATGAATAGAACAAAAATCTTTCCTTACATTTTACAGTATCATTATCATTTTGTAAAAATTATAAAAATGGTATTCTACCTTACACATCTTCGGAGGAGCTGCTGTTGTCTTCGCTGTCTTCGGAATTATCCAAAATTTGTGATAGTACCTCATCCATGGCATCCTCCAACAAATTGTCTTTTTCCCAATACTTCTTTTCCAAATCTTCTGTGTGGCGACAAAAATTTTCCCACTCACTAACACTTGTCCGATTTACCGCTTCTTCCGCAAGCGCTAGCAATTCATCCACTGCTAAAGTTGACGGATTTCTTTCGCGAATTCTCCGTTTTATTAGTGCCCAGGCCAACTCAATCGGATTTAAATCGCACATGTACGGTGGTAACCGCAGCACGATGTGTCCATGGCATTTCAGCACTTCATCCGCTTTAAATATTTTTTCTGGACCTTTATGTTGTTCTATCAAGTGCACTAATTCATATTTCTTCATGTCTTCGGAATACGGTACGTTATTCCGAAGAAGCCAGTCCATCATATCACTCTTCCTTGCATACTTCGATGGTGGCCTATTCAATTGAATAGAGTGATATGGGGCATTGTCCATCACAATAACACTATTCGGTGCGATATTCGGCAAAAGTTTTTCAGTCATCCACTTTTCAAAATTAATGGCATTCATTTGACCATGATAGTCGCCACTTGTGCTGTTCGCTTTGAACATCAACAGTGCATTGTTGACGAATCCACTCTTCCCACCAGCATGGACAATTATATATCGGTGAGAAGAACTCATATTTTTCACAATACCAAGTGTTTCTTCGCTCTGCCAGCACTTTCCAAAAGACAAGGTATTATCAGCCCATGTCTCATCAATATAAATAATATTTCTGTTTGCCTTTCTATACTGATTAATTGCCTTTAAATATTTCCCTCTCCAGGCAACAATGTTTGGCTTTTCAATTAATATCTTTCTGATATTAACACTTTTTTTCCACGTGTATCCCATGCTCTTTAATAACTGGCGTAACGTGTCTAATTCCCATGGGAAAACAATTTTTTCCCTTATCGCGGCTAACAATTTCGGAGCACTCGGCACAATTTTTTTCTCCACGTAAAACTCGTGGATAATATTTCTAATCACTTTTTTTTCTTCCTCCGATGCAATGGTTATGTCCCTGAATTTTTTCACATTTTTTGGCAGGGTGCGCCGTAGTGGCAAAAATCAAAACCGATATTTTCTGCGTTTTTCACGTGAAAAAGCAACTTATACTCTGAATTTTTGTATTCCCTTTAATGGATAACTATATTCTATGGTTTTAAACAATTCTATGTTGAATAGAACGGCGTATAGAATAGAAAAACAAAAATAAGTCACCAAATTAAAGGTGCTATGTGCGTTATATTCAGAAGCAGCAGCGGTATTTCCAAGAGGTGCGATGGTGCAGTGACTAAGATGCTTGACTGGAGAAATATTTTTAAATATTTTAAATAGATTTTCATTGTTATATAGTTGAAAATTAAAAAAATATATGATTAATAAAAAAAAAAGATGTGCTTCAAACGGGGCACGAACCAGCGTCAAAAAGTTTGCAGAGTATCCACAGTTAAGCATCTCAAGGGTTTGCGACGACCTGAAAGTGTAACAAAAATCGCATGAAAGTCGCCGGAAAATTCCCAATTAGCCTGCACAGTTTACCTGCCAGCCGAGTTTATTATGGGCCCGATTGTTCTGAGCGTCCATCATTATCGCGTAAATTAAACATTTCTCTTGCAGGTATCGACCTACAGTGATAATTTGCCTCCAAACATAGACGACTTATTTATTTGTAACAACCCCTATCCCGCCCATAGACAAACGACACGAACTCCTTTTGTCACAACTCTCTAAAGGATGAATGAATCCGATAAAATAAGCGTTTATAAAATTCTTGAATGAAAAAAAGTGCATATAAATTATGCGAATAAAATCTTTCATATAAATAATTACATACTTATTCTTAAATGTTTGCACAAAGATCTCAAAGCTTATTAATAATTCTTACATTTTTAAATATATTTCATATGAATTATACGTTTATTCGAAAGTAGTATTCATGTTTTGGTCTGTTTATAATTCGTGAAATGTTTGAAGACTATTCTAGACTTCATCAAATGAATGAACTTGCATTATTTAGTAAACAGTAAGTAAAAGCGGTTTCGTCATACAGGGTGTTCGGCCACCCCTAGGAAAAGTTTTAATGGGCGATTTTAGAGGCCAAAATAAGACGAAAATCAAGAATGCCAATTTGTTGATTGAAGCTTCGTTAAAAAGTTATTAACAATTATATTCAAAAATTTCAAATCGTTCTGGAAAAATTATTTTCGATTGCGGGGGTCAATTACAATAATTTTTGGTGAATAGACATACCCCCGTAATCTTGCGCATTTTCGAGAAAAAAATTCAGTACGGGTGGAACTTTAAACATTAATAACTTTTTAACAAAGCCTCCATCAACAAATTGGTATTCTTGATTTTCGTCTTATTTTGGTCTCTAGAATCCCGCATTAAAATTTTCCACAGGGGTGGCCGAACACCCTGTATCTCTCGCAGATATTGAGATCCTACTACTATGTAGCGTGACGTCAGAGCGGGCCTCTATGGTGGGAATAGGGCGGCGCGTAGACCTTCTCTCCTTGCCCTTGCCCCGTTTAGTTTGTAGGTGCCTAGCCAACTCGTTTTCGGCGGACAGTAGACATTTACGAATAACATAATCGCGGTACGTGTTTATTTAATTGCATAGTGGTTAGTGCCTGAAAGGATTATTTGTGGATACTTGTGGACACTGTGGACAATCGTGGGGCGTGTATAATCGCATGTGGGTGATTTTTGTTCACAACATTGTGTATTGGAACTGGCATTCACCCTTTCTCTGTGAAAATCTCGTCGGACGAGTTTTGATATGCCCTTCTGGATTTTCATAAGACAGGTTGAATCTTATTCAACGTAAGGTGTTCGCATTCCCATAAGTGGACAAAAATCTAAGGCTGTCGATAATGTCGGTAATCAGAATTTTTCATGCTGCGTGAGAACCACTAGCACTCGCCTGCCGCAACCGTCCGCGCGAACCAGCTGTTCAGCGGATTGTCATTCTACAGGCGGAACTTTAAATGTTAATAACTTTGCAACGAAGCCTCCATCAACTAATTAGTATACTTGATTTTCGTCTTATTTTGGCCTCTACTATCGCTCATTAAAATTTTTGCAAGAGGTGGCCGAACACCCTGTATATGCATAATCTATTTCAACGAGTTATTTCATATTAACGTATGTTTATCTCTCTTGGCATAAACTAACACCAGTTCACGCAAGTTCAGCGTTGTTTGCGTTAGCGTGAATAAAATAAATCTGTATTCTGACTAAATTATAACGGACAGATGAGAACCAGGCGTACCAAATTTGGCGTGGAATGTGCTCGAAATAACATTGCAGTTTTCATTTATTTACGTCCTGTCAGTCAAGAGACTCCGAAATCCAGGCAAGGAAACTGTCACTTAACCGCGTTCAAGGAGCTCTGTGATAAGAAAACAGTGACTGACGTGTTGTTGTACGGATTGTTAATAAATAGCATCAACGTTAAGACGTTGCAATTGTTCGTATTAGCAGTTGCAACGTAGATAGAGAAATTTATTAATTACTGTGCTTTCAAACGATTAGAAATATTGACAAGTCTCTCCCAATTACAACTACATATTTTTAAAAATAAGTTTACCTTTAATTAGACCTTGATGATCAAGATGAGACACATTCTATGTATCAACAATTTTGTCCATTTTCATCGATCGTTCGAGACACTTCGCGTCGCGTGGAATTAATCTTCCTCGTTTCTAGTTTTTAATTCGCTTCTCTTAGACAATTGCTATCGATCAACTGGTCACAGCCTTACATAACGAATGTGTAAACACACGTGTGCGTGCACGGTCGCTCATTATTCACGCGGCTTACGCAACTGCCGTTACTCGATTCGGAATGGCGTTCACTCTCCAATTAAATAATGACCGTGCAACAAAGATGTCATCTTTAGGCGCCCGGTGCTCGGTATTCCGATCAAAGAGACCGTAAAATATTCGACAAGCACTCGCACCTTTCTGTACTATTCGAATTAAGTATTCCTCGCGGCCAGGTGCAGTTTCCACTGTGTAATTAATATATCGTTTCGTAAGTACAATCTATTTTCGTGCAATCAATTCAGATTCTTGTCTTTATCTTTATGTTATACGCAACGACCTCGACTGAGGTTTTTCATGCAAGCATCGATTCTTTTTTCACATTTTATCGAACGATAGCTTCTCGTAAAAATGTCCTCAATTTAAGGACCATAAAAATTCTTAAATTTTAAAGAAAGGTAAATATTCAGCGCCAAGATTAACCCTGAGGCTTGTTTTTCGAAGTTTGTGCTCGATCGACTCTGTATTTTCTCCGTCGAGGCGATACTAATTGACACACGCTGTCACGTGTGAAAACATCGAGTTATAATTGGCACGTCGGTCATTTTCGTTTCGTTCGAATGCTTTAATAACGTATTTAAAGCCCGAGAACTGTTCCGTTTGGTTCAACAACCCTCTTCCCGCCAGCTTTCGTACTTGTTTCGCGCGGAAGGATCGAGAAAAACAACTTCGATTAGCGATTACGAGCGGACAGGGGTCGACATGGTCGTAGAGCACGATCGATGCGAGACGAACGATTCGATTCGAATTGATTTCGTGATCGAGAAAACGTGACGCGACGATCAAGTCGAGAAGAAACTGGACTTATGTTTCTCCGTGCTTCTCGCTCGGTTAGGAGTTTAGTTTTCTTAGAAATTGTGTAACCGATGCTTCGAAACAGGTCAGGCACACAAACTATAACTGCGTTACAGCTTCGTTTTGTTGAGCAAATATTGTCGCAACAGCAATTTCCAAATGGGCAATAAAAAACCTTATCGATCGTTGTCTAACAAAAGGATAAAAATTTTATCGTATTTAGAAGTTGGAGATTATTAAATTTTATTCGCGTTAGCGTTACAAACATGTAATAGTCGAATAGAAGAAAGAAAATGGAATCTTTTAATTTAAAAATTCCATCCTTTAAATTCGAAATCGAACTTTTAGAGTATTTCTACGTCGAATCGAAGTAATTTAGTTTCATTTTACGTTCGATACGTGTGTTGTGCTTTAAATAGTATTTAGTTTCCAATAATAGTATAATTTTAGTACACCTGATTTCCTGCCGGTTTCCTGGCTGAAACTTAATTATAACGGACGGGGTCAGTGGCGTTATAGTGAAAATACTTGGGAGGCAATTAGGTTAATCAAACGTGTTGGTACGATGCTCGGACTTTCAATAACATGCTCACGACACGTTATGCACGACCATTCTGAAATTTGACGCGATGTATCAGTTAATCAACCTAATCACGTTTAATAGTATTTTATTGTTTTCGTTTACATAACGGTTCCCTTTCAAAATATCAAATGGAATTACATCTATTTTTTCTCCACGAATGAAAAATGACTAATTATTTATACTCTTTCAAACGAAACAGTCGAAACGTTAAAAATGCTTCGTAATAATGTGTATTTACACTAAAAATTTAAATTATTCTCGATGTCGAAAGGAACAGATTTTTATACTAAGGAAATTTACAGACTTGGAGAATGTAAATTAATTTAATTATAATGTTCTATTGTATTGTTTAGTAACGAAGGTATTTTCATTGTGAACGACACGAACGTCAATTAAGAAGTGTAACTATAGGACGAAACTGGTTGGAACGA